TTTGAGATCCTCTTTCCAATTGATTTTTTATTCTTTGCAATATACATTCTTTGTTCTAGCAAACTCAGCCACATCTCTTGCTTTCCCCTTCCTTGCCTCAACCCCCAACATGATTTGGTTCTTCCTCTAAACTTTTGCATTGAATATTACTACCCTAATCTGGTAGCTTCCATAGTCTCCCCTCCCTAGTCCACTTCCAGCCATCAATTTAAGTTCAGAAATTTTCAAGGAATTTTCTCTAATTACTCTAACCCTACTTCTCTCTCCTGCATATAAATTTCTATTGCAATAAGTCCTCATTTAACATCATCCATAGGTTCTTGGAAAGTTTAATTTTAAGTGAGATGACATATAATGAAACCAATTTTAACACAGACTAATTGATATAAACAAGAGTTAAGTTCCTACAGTATCTCATCAATGTCATAATGAAATGACGCTGAACAAAACAACGTTACTCGAGGACATGCTGTACACCTACAATCAGCATGCTCAATGGAAGGTTTAATTATTTCAACATATGTTATTGAAACTAAAAGGTCTTATCTCATTCTTATTTTCCAGTCATCAATGCACCTAGCACAGTTCTTGGCACATAACAAGCACTAATGAAATATGTGCTGATTTCTTCAATTATCCTGAAAGATTGATGGCTTTTTTCCCCTAGATGTCACTTTGAATTACAAAAGGGAAAAGAAGAAAGCAAAATTTTAAAGCAAAACAAATATTAGGCACATTCACTATTCTAGATACAATAGTACACAGTGATGTTAAAGATGTTTCCTCCTACAGACTGCTTAGTCATGAAGGCAAGGTGATTACAGACAGCTCTCAATTACAATACAGGGCATTTTGGTGTATTATGCAATAGTGTATCATCCTATATAATAAAAGAGAAACATGTAAAATGACCCTCCACTATGCTCACCAGCCAATCAGGAGTGAGTATGCAAATTAACCTGGGAAAGATGGTGGGTTACTTTGCATACAGAGGCGCCAGGCAGAGAGCAGAACAGGAGAGCTGGCAGATTGGGGGGATGTGGCTTTCTCAGTTGCTCTCCCCGAGCAGCCAGGTTGAGAGCAGAGCAGGAGAGCCAGAGGCTTGGGGGGATGTGGCTCTCTCAGTTGCTCCCAGCAACCGAGGGAGCCATGCCCCCCCAAGCCACCGGGCAGAGAGGAGAGCTGGAGTGCCAGCGGCTTGGAGGACTTGGCAGAGTGGGAGGCTATGGGATGGAGACAGAGCAGGAAGAGAAAACCAAGAGTGCGGGAAGCACCAGGAATGCTGGGAATTGTAGT